CCCCTGCAATCGCTAGCCAGATTAGATCAGACGATCCACGATATATTAATAGCCCATCTTCGAACCTCCTCGCTTCTGTCTTTTGATTTCACTTGATGGGTGCGATTCATATTAGATGTTACTGGTAAGAGCGTTGTCAAACTCCAAATACCTGTGGCATCTTCAGACTGAGGGCTGAGAGAGTAAAGAGTTTGTTTACCAGATGGAAAATGAGAACTTATATTTACTAAGTATTAACTGGATTAATGCAATATGCGTGACTGTGTGTATATGAATGATTCAAGAGATTAGGTGTCAAGTTATTAAGAACGGCAGTAACGTTCAGTTGAGTATTCATGTTTCAATTAGTTTAATCAGAAGGTAGAAACCAGTTAATATTGATTATTAAGGACTTATATAAAATATTTTGAAAAGTTCACGATGAGTATGTATTAATTGATAGATGACCTTCAGACTCCACCTCACATGTTTGAAATGAATTTGATATACAATGAAATTAGATAATCTCAGTATAATACATCTTATAGATTAACTCGTCAGAAAAGAATGCATACCACGTGAGAACGTTTTACCGCTTTCAGAGTTCGCTCTTAAACAACTTCATCATTATTTCTTTTGCGTAAGACCTGGTAATTCTGCACTGAAAGATTTTATTTCGTTTCCTCTATGGATCCTGGCATCATATTTTCAACCACAGAATCGAAACTGGACACCACTATATGTGATATTTGGGGCATTCAACTCCGCCTGGAGTCCCTCCGTGGGCTACTGCCGGTCCCAACCCCGGATAAAGGAGGAGGGTTGGGCATGGGGTTAGCGTCCCCATCCCGTAGAAAACTAACTCGCTAAAAAAACGCTAACCAGAAAAAAATTATTCAAACCTTTTAAACTCTGCCCTGGGAGTCAAAAGTTCTTCATTTAGAAGATTTATGACACCTCATGATGAAAGCCGAATTCCTTCGGAAGTTACGAGGCCGATGCCCCTTCTCACAACCAGAGCGACCATTTATTTAGGTACATGGAATGTTCGTACAATGTGGGACACCGGAAGAGCCTTCCAAATTGCTGCAGAAATGAGAAGATACAACCTAGAGATACTTGGGATCAGTGAAACACATTGGACACAAGTTGGACAACAACGACCAACTACAGGAGAGCTCCTGTTATACTCCGGCCATGAAGAAGAAAATGCACCACATACACAAGGAGTTGCATTGATGCTGTCCAAACAAGCGCTAAATGTACTTATAGGATGGGAATCTCATGGACCAAGGATCGTCAAAGCCTCGTTCAAAACAAAGAAAGTGGGCATTTCAATGAACATCATCCAATGCTATGCGCCTACCAACGACTACAATGAAGACTCTAAAGATCAATTCTACAATAGGCTGAAGTCAATCGTCGAGAAGTGCCCAACAAAGGACCTGACCATTCTGATGGGAGATTTCAACGCCAAGGTTGGAACGGACAACACTGGATATGAAGACATCATGGGATGACACGGACTGGGAGAAAGAAACGAAAATGGTGAGAGATTTGCAAATCTATGTGCCTTCAATAAGCTGGTCATAGGCGGCACCATATTCCCACATAAACGCATACACAAAACCACATGGACTTCACCGGATCACTCTACACAAAACCAAATCGACCACATTTGCGTCAACAAAACATCCAGGAGGACTATAGAGGACGTGAGAACCAAGAGAGGAGCTGATATAGCATCAGATCATCACTTGCTGGTCGCCAAGATGAAATTGAAACTCAAGAAGCACTGGACAATGGGGCAGACAGTATCACAAAAGTTCAATACGGCCTTTCTCCAGGATACTAACAAACTCAACAAATTCAAGATAGTCCTCAGCAACAAGTTCCAAGCCTTTCATGATCTACTCAATAGAGAAGGAACTACTGTGGAGAGCAACTGGAAGGGGATCAAAGAGGCAATCACTTCAACATGTCATGAGGTCCTGGGTCACAAGAAGCACCACCACAAGGAATGGATCACTGTTGATACACTGGATAAGATTCAAGAAAGAAGGAACAAGAAGGCAGCAATCAATACCAGCCGAACAAGAGCAGAAAAAGCCAAGGCACAAGCTGAATACACGGAAATAAACAAACAAGTGAAGAGGAGCATCAGAACCGACAAACGTAAATATGTGGAAGATTTAGCAACGGCGGCGGAAAAGGCTGCAAGAGAAGGAAACATGAGACAATTGTATGACACGACAAAGAAACTCTCTGGAAATCGCCGCAAACCAGAACGACCAGTGAAAAGCAAGGAAGGCAAGGTAATCACCCACATTGAAGAGCAACAAAACAGGTGGGTAGAACACTTCAAAGAACTCTTGAATCGACCAGCGCCACTGAACCCACCCAACATATAAGCAGCACCCACGGACCTCCCAATCAATGTTGGCCCACCAACAATTGAAGAAATCAGCATGGCCATCAGACAAATCAAGAGTGGCAAAGCAGCAGGACCGGACAACATCCCAGCAGAGGCACTAAAGGCAGACGTGGCGGCAGCTGCAAGGATACTCCACATTCTCTTCAATAAGAATCGGGATGAGGAACAAGTACCAACAGACTGAAAAGAAGGACTTCTGATCAAAATACCGAAGAAAGGCGATCTCAGCAAGTGTGATAAATACAGGGGCGTCACTCTTCTCTCAATACCGGGAAAAGTCTTCAACAGGGTATTGTTAAACAGGATGAAGGACTGCGTAGACGCCCAACTTCGTGAACAACAGGCAGGATTCCGTAAGGATAGATCGTGTACAGACCAAATCGCAACTCTACGGATCATTGTGGAACAATCAATTGAATGGAATTCATCACTCTACATCAACTTCATTGACTACGAAAAGGCATTTGACAGCGTGGACAGAAAAACACTATGGAAACTTCTTCGACACTACGGCGTGCCTCAGAAGATAGTCAATGTCATACAGAGTTCATATGATGGATTACACTGCAAAATTGTGCATGGAGGACAGTTGACAAAGTCGTTCGAAGTGAAGACCGGTGTTAGGCAAGGTTGCTTACTCTCACCATTTCTCTTTCTCCTGGTGATCGACTGGATCATAAAGACCTCAACATATGAAGGGAAACGCGGGATACAATGGACATCTAAGATGCAGTTGGATGATCTAGACTTCGCAGACGATCTGGCCCTTCTATCCCAAACGCAACAACAGATGCAGGAGAAGACAAACAGTGTGGCAGCAGCCTCAGCAGCAGTAGGTCTCAACATACACAAAGGCAAAAGCAGGATTCTCCGATACAACACAGAATGCACCAATCCAATCACAATTGACGGAGAAGATTTGGAAGATGTAAAAACCTTTACATATTTGGGCAGCATCATTGATGAACAGGGTGGATCTGATGCAGATGTGAAGGCGCGGATCGGCAAAGCAAGAGCAGCATATTTACAACTGAAGAACATCTGGAGCTCAAAGCAACTGTCAACCAACACCAAGGTCGAGATTTTCAATACAAATACCAAGACAGTTCTACTGTATGGGGCAGAAACCTGGAGAACTACAAAAGCCATCATCCAGAAAATACAGGTGTTTATCAACAATTGTCTACGCAAAATACTTCAGATCCATCGGCCGGACACTATTAGCAACAACGTACTGTGGGAGAGAACAAACCAGATCCCAGCGGAGGAAGAAATTAGAAAGAAGCGCTGGAAGTGAATAGGACACACATTGAGGAAAGCACCCAACTGCGTCACAAGACAAACCCTCACATGGAATCCTGAAGGCCAAAGGAGAAGAGGAAGACCAAAGAACATATTACGCCGAGAAATGGAAATAGACATGAGAGAAATGAACAAGAATTGGATGGAACTAGAAAAGAAGGCCCAGGACAGAGTGGGTTGGAGAATGCTGGTCAGCGGCCTATGCTCCATTGGGAGTAACAGGCGTAAGTAAGTAAATAAGTAAGTTGGGGCATTCGTTTCTATCAGCACAAAAGAGCTCACACGAAAATCCATTAGAACGTTTTTGTATGATTCGCTACTAGAAACAAAACTGACGACACCATCTATGAATATTTCAAAGAAGGCTATACATTTAATTCGTTTCTCAAGCCGCCATAACTATTTGGCGTTTGAATATACTTTTTCCTATTAGACCTTTATAATCAAAACATACAAAACCAGCCAAATTATGGGTAAGGAATACAAAAGTTAGAAGATATATTTGGGAAGTTATCGGTTTGTTAAGAAGCATTTGTTGCAAGGATTGAGAAGCATAGAATACTTTATGGTGGTCTGGTGGTGCATAAGCGAGAGCTTTCAACAAGGATATTTCCAGTAAAACTAATGAGGTTAGCATCAATGTTGTGGACTTGCTGAACCATTTATTTTGCTGAATTATTAATCGTTATGTTTTCTTAGGTACTAAGATAAAAAATTCTAGGTGTCACTTTTCAACAATCTCACCAATTAATGATCAAAGCTCTTTTCTTCAGACCTAAAATAAGCACGGGAAGAATTATATCTCTCTGAGATCATCAAGACTCCATAACTAACCAGACGCAGATCCCAAGAAACAGACAATAGATTGTCTGTCCAGAATACTAGTAAGTTTTTCAGCACTAGAACCATAAAAAAGCATTAACAACTTTTGCAAACTGCATGCGGATCCCACGAATCAATTAGTTGACTAATTCAATTCCACAGTTTGTAGTTTGTCTCATCCTATGAATCACATAAAAGACCTTGAAGTGTTCATTAACGCATGTTGGTAATTTAAATAACACTCTTAGCGTCTAGTCACAGTTGTTAGGTTGTCTTAATCTCACGCTTGTGTTATTGCTGTTTAGTGTCGATTGCCTTTATAAATAATTGTAAGCGTTTTTTTATATGCTTATTGTTCTATCGGTTCAATTTTCGTCTTGTTTTTTCTGTTCTAGTTTCTTCTACACACTGCTCTCCACAACTACTCAGTACACAACCTATCAAAAATAGTAAATTTCACCAGATGGCCATTTCACCTCGTCTTATTGAATATGGTTTGAAAGCTGCTGGGATTGTCACTGCTGTTTGTATGTTTCCGATTACTATACGCGTATGTAGCTTTTAGTGTGCTTTTCAATGGGAGTTGTTTGCATGATCTCAATATCAGCGCAGTGCATTATTGGTGGACTTTTCCTAATGTTAGTTTTATTCCAAGCCAGTGTTGTATTTTTATCATCGTTAAATTATTGCTCAATTCATTCTGTATTTTAATTCCATAAAGATATCACACTGTAGTATGGGGAGATTCTAGTTTTGACCAGGACTTAATATTAAGTGAGTGATCCGAACAATCACAGTACATGTTTTCGGCCTATATTCTTCGTTTATTTTTGTTGGTTATCACTTCTCGTGAGTTAGGCATTTGAGACGGTTAACAATTTATGTAATGCTTCTAAGCTGGAATTATCTTGGTTTTATCACAATTCCAGTTACATACTTCAAGATCGATGATAACCTGAGGTTTTGTTCTCCTTGAGCTTTGAACTATGTTGTATTAGTAGGCTTTATTATGCTTCTGTCTTCATGGTTGAGCTCTTTGCTAAGACTGAACATTGTAAGTTTTCCTTGTACAGAGAATCTACTGTTACTATACTCGTCTCGAGCTCGATGCTAACCGTCTAGCATGTTTTACGTCATGTCTCTATGTATTTACTCGAAGTTATGATTTTGGTAGAGAGTATTCTGGAGTTTTCGTCACTTTATTTTACTAGCTTCATCCGATTTTACCTTTTATGGGAATAAACGTTACTGGAATTGCCCCAAAGTTTGCCAGACGCTAGGCTATTCATCAAAGTTCTCAATATCTTACGGTGTGCCTCTAACTTTAGAGTGCAAGTAATTCTTAGAGGTGATCTTAACACATTTGTCTTAATCATAATGCGATATAACTGGATATGTGAACCTTTGCTTAAAAGCACTATCCACCATTTGAGCTAAAGAAGCTCGACTCAATCCAATTACGTTTATGACATTTCTGAAGTATGCTGAGTAAAATGTACTGACTAAGTCTTCATTAACCTTCATGATTACACAGTGGCGTTCAGACATTTGTAAATCTGGACACGTAGGATTGGAAAGATTATCAATTCTAAGGAAACGATCACATAAAATAGCATACTTAGCATCCAGTAAAGGCACATCACTCTATCACGTTTTCTGGATGAAGTCATCTTTAAACTTCCAAAACTGACAACCAAGTGTACCGAAAAAAATATGGTTAACATTTTATTTGACATGAGAAAGTGGATATTTGTAATATATTTATTTAATCTGGTAATTATGACATATGTTGAGGTCTTGAATTTAATTTCTTTTGTAAACGTATCGTCACAGACTTTGTAACTATACAGTGAACAAATTACTCCTGGTTTTGAAAATTGTACATAATTCCACTGTTTTTACTTTCAGTTTTCATGATAACTCTCAATCTTGCCTTTTTTTCTGTTAATTTTCTAAAGTTTAATTGGTATAGTCGTCATAATATTTGAAGCCCCAATATGTTGTTCCATGATACCTCAATTGCATAAATTCAATGAATTCATTGAAAAACGATCCCCAATCGAAAAGTCGATTTTCTATGGAATGTAAGTAAATATACTTCGTAATTGCTATTTTCATTTTAGTGCAGCCATTTTACCAATGAGTTTATGTTTTGGAATTTCTACACTTTTTTGTGGATTAGCTTTAGCTGGATGTTGTGCATTTAATGTCTGGAGGATTTTTAAGGAAAGGTTAGTTTAGTTTATTTACTTTCACATCTATATTTACAAAGTTTACTGTCAAGTTAGTAGCTGATTTATTTGATCATAATACTGATATTTCTAACTTAAAATTCATTCCTGTTTGGATAGTGAGATAGTAACTGCCTTTAGATAATAAGCATGATTGACACCACTAAAAGTTTGTCTGTGTTTGTGAGTCACACCCACTCTTCTGTCATTTTATTGTCTCTATTACTTTAATTTGGTCAGGCAGATGAGAAATATGCTTCGTGTAGTATGCAGGCGTTTTTATACTTATAGTAGCGATCTATTGGTCCAGATTATTGTTTATGCTCATGCTTGTCAAATTTATGAGTAATGTGTAAGATCAACATTGAGTTTTAACATAATCCAACCACACCGGGGTTAATCACAAACTGTTATTGATCACAGGTCGATTAAGCCACCTACTCTTCTTAACAGACATTTCACTAAACTATACTCAGTGCTGTTTTAGCAATTTCTAAAAAGTATAATTAGTTTTTGAAAGTAAATCTCAATTAGATCGACAAAATAAAACTGATTTTCATTCTGAAAAATGTATAGACAATATTTTACTCACTTAGGCCATTCGTTTGGTAAGGAATAAAACTGGACTTCAGTCTTTTATTACTGTATCGCTGGTGTATTTATAGCCGTTAGTAGGTATATTTCACATACATTTATATACAGTTATCATATATGTAATAGATATTAATTTAAACTTATCCCAACATTACCATTAACAATCATTGGTTTCAACCGAAGTTACCACTTTATCTGTAATATGTAATTCTTTGGTCCCTGATTGGTGTATGGATGTTTGCATTTATGGAACAAACTGCAGATTAATGTATGTTAACATAGAATATTCACATCTTTTAAATGTGATTTCCATTAGTTTATAAATTAATAGTTTTTTGCTCTCATTCTACTGTGTATACAAAACATCTTGTTCTAGACGCAGTGGACAAGCAAATCCAAATGGTGTTGGTTCTGAACATCATACTCAATACGCTGCAGGTGAATCACAACCTCCAACATTTCAAGGTGGATATGGTGAGCAACCAGGATTTCGGGATCATTTAATCGAAAAAGCTGCTGTTGGTGCAGTAAAAGGTGTGATTGGTGGTCCGGGCAGTGGTGGTTATCCAGGAACGGGTTATTCGGGTACTTAGTTATTCTTTTGAATCAGTTGGTTACCATTTATCTCCTTCCAAGATAATAATTACGTTTTATGCTTTCGTTTTCTATCATGCAAATGAGTTACATTCCATTTATGCTTTTTTTCGTTGTATTATTATCTTATAAATGGCGATATATATATATATATATATATATATATATATATATATATATATATAAAGTGGCATTTATTGTAGTCGTTTGTTTTGCATTACATCTATTTAATTGTATTTTATGATACTTAACTCTACTATATTGTTTATCAAAATACCACACTTGTTTTCGAATCTCAATTTAACTAAGTGATACTTTGTTATTGTCAACTTTTTTCATTTCTATAACTATTCTAATTGTCGTAAATTGACTACTTCAATGATTATTTTCATTAAAAACTAAAGATTGTTCAGGAGAATTGTCGTTAAAGGGTCACTCTAAAGCTTAGTATCCTTCACTAAATTGTCGATGAAATTCTACGAATAAGATATGGATAGTTGTACATCAACTTATTTGACGTTCTATAATTTGTCGACAGTTTTGTGGATGATATCATTTTAAAAGAGACTACCTATCGATCTATTTTTGCGGCACGTGATATTATTATTGATATATTTGTTTGTATGTTTTAAATGACTTATTTCCATACAGGATTATTTATATCATTGCGCTCTAAGAACTATTTATCTTCGTCTCTTTGTGTCTATCAGTGTTTCACACACGTTTATTGTCAAATCTATGCTTTGGCCGAAACTGTCATTGTTAGAATTACTTTTACCACCACTACTATTAATTGTGTTGTGATTGCTTTCCTCATTAAAAACATTTCTTTGAAAATTATCAATATTTGAGCTTATTCTAGTCTATTAGAGATGTATGTGTACTGCTAGCCATACTATGCTGTAATGCTTCTTATGACAGTGTACGAGTTGTGTAGTAGCTCAGTTTTTCTGTAATGAATATTTTATAAATAGCCTGGCAAGTAATATTCAGTATTTCAAAAGTACACAGTGATCTTTACTGATGCTCTTAAAAGTATCGTATATTCACTTATTGGGAGTGATAAAATGGATCTAAATTCTATTTGGTTCACGTTTCTTACATCTATTAAACTAATCTACATAATAAATGCAACCCAGGCTTTTTATGTTTCTTTGATTTGTACTGGTGTAAAATATAATACGATATGCAAAGTCTTCAGACTTATGATGTTGCCATTCTGCTTCCAAATAAAAGTGAGAAACTAAATAGTATTCAGACTTTGATAAAATTTTAAACTAAAATTTCTCGGGAAGGTGAGACCCATACCCCCAATTCAATATTCGAAGTTGCTTTTCCGTCTTACACAATAAACAGAAAACCTAGACTATCTCACTTGTTCCAAAGGTGATGTAAGCTTTTGGTTTGTCTGATGAGAGTCATCAAATGACTGGGATTCGAAACTGTTATAATCTCTTTCTTACGGTTATGACCCAGCTATTCATATTCCTTAGTATTCTCGGACACCGATTAATTCAGCAAGTCCCCAAATCAGAACACGGTTGAACAGGAAAGAGATTATATCCCAAATAACAAGGTTAGATGGAAGTAAGAAGCACAATAGGGAAAACGTTAGTATATTTATAGTTTTTACATGAGAAGATTCCAGAGTATTCTTCAAGTACCGACTAGTGCTGATTGGATAAGAATTAGCCAATCAGCGTACACCAAAGCAATCGTGCATTGAGCATGCTTTAATCCAGTCTATGTCCCGCTAACAGGAACGTGTTTGACTAATTGACTCATTATTGAGAACAACATTTTAGGATAAAAGAAATACACCCCAAACAGTTTTGTATAAATGTTGGTGGGATATATATTGGATTAAAGGATGTTCCGCTCATGATTGTGTTTGATCACGCTGATTGACCACTTCTAAGCTAATCAGTGCTAGCCGATAATTGAAACATGCTCTAGAATCTTCTGTAAGATTATAAATATGCTAACGTTTTTCCTATAGTGATTTCTACTTCCACTCAACCTTGTTTCATTCGGAGTATAATTACGTCCATGTTCAGTCGTGCTCTGATTTGGGGACTTGTTGAGTGAAACAAGGTATCCGAAGAATACTAAGCAATGAAAGTAGCTGAATGGTAATAAGAGAGATCATAACAATAATCGATTGATTCACTCATAAGACTTTGTTTTTCCAGTACCCTAGTTCGATGAATGAGACTAATAGCTAAAATACCTAGAGTCTAAAATGAGAATAATTTATCTTTAAAACCGTATGTATACCAGAACTAAATAAACATAGTGGAAGTAGGAATCCCTGCTTAACACCATGTTACCCGGGATTTTTTAATGGTAGGTTGCTATGAGCTCTGATGATAACAAGTGTCGGATTTTATCTCTCTTTTTGTTTGCTATACCTTTCAACACATCTTTTATTGACGGATATTGTTTCAACTATGTTGATCAACAATGCCAGATACTGCCTTCACTTCTACGAACAACTGGAGTCAGGCGTTTGTTAATGCACCTGCTCCAAGATATATCATGGTTAGACATTTAGCTGATATGTTTATTTCCGAGTTCAAACAAGCTTGGTTTGTTTTGAGATTAACTCTCCTGGGTTACATTTGGTTTTCATGTTATTGTGGAAACTAATATACTAAACACTACGTAACTCAAAGTGATACATATAACAGTGCCATCCTTTGCAATGACTAATGGTTGACATCATTCTAATGGAATAACATTAAGGTTTCTAAATCTTGCTAACAACTAAGCCAAATCATCCACCTTAACCACTGAAGTCAATCTATTAAGATTACTGCTCTCTCATTTAAAATAATTTATAACCTTTCCTACATCACTGAAAGTTGAAGGTTTGATTTTAACGTCCTATTTAGGTTACTTATAAAATAATTCGAAACCAGTTGAACTACTAAATCCGCCTATACATCTATGATTACTGCCGGTCTCAAGTCCGAATAAAGGAGGGTGGTTGGGCATGGTGTCAGTAACCCCACCTCTTAAAAAACAACCTTGCTAAAAAGCACTAATAAAATAAATAATTTAAATTTTTTGAACACTCCCTTGGGAGTTGAAGGGTCTTCATTCAGAAGAATTTTGACACCTAATGAGGAAAGCCGAAGTTCTTTAGCAATCATGAGGTTTGTGCCCCTTCTAACAACCGGAGCAGTAATTAATATAGGTACATGGAATGTCCGGATAGTATGGGAGACTAAGAGGATCAGTCAAATCGCTACGGAAATGAGGAGATATAACTTGGCAGTGCTCAGAATAAATGGAACCCGTTGGATCCAAGCTGGACAGTAAAGATTATATTCGAGAGATATGCTGTTGTACTCTGGTCATGAAGAAGAAAATGCAAGGCACACAAGGATTTCCACTGATTCTGTCCGAAGAATCACGAAAAGTACTTATAGGATGCAAACCTCATGGATCTAGGATCATCTAAGCATCATTCAAAACAAAGAAGAAGGGAATGAAAATGCACGTTATTCAATGTTATGTATCAACTAATGATAACAACGACGAGGATAAAGATCAGTTTTATGAGAGGCTACAGTCAATCGCAGAGAAATGCATAGGAAAGTACCTGACCATCGTGATGTGAAACTTAAACGCCAAAGTCGGGATGGACAACATCGAGTATGAAGATATCATGGGACGACTAACTGGGAGAAAGAAAAGAGAATGACAAGTGATGTGCAATTTTATGTGCATTCAATAAAATAGTTATAAGTGACACTTTATTCCCACACAAACGCATTCAAAAAACTACATGGGTCTCACCGGATCACACTATACAGATTCAGACCAGTCATGTTTGTATCGCTAAAAATTTCAGAAGGTCAATGGAAGACGAAAACCAAGAGAGGAGCTGACATAGCTACAGATCACCACCTGATGGTTGCCAGCATGAAACTGAAGATAAGGAATCAATAGACAGCTGGAGAAATAGCATTACAAAGTTTCAATACAGCCTTCTTTCAAGATACAAACTAAACCAATTCAAGATAACTCTTGATAACAAGTTCCAAGCCTTACAGGATCTACTGGATGAAGAAACTATTATGGAGGACTATTCGAAAGGGATCAAATAAGTATCAACTTCAACGTGTTAGGAGGTGCTGCGCTGCAACAAGCACCATCATAATGAATGGATCTCTATAAAAACCCTAGACAAGAAAGGAAGAACAAGAAAACAGCAATTAGCAAAGGTCGAATGAGAGTAGAGAAAGTCAAGGCACAGAACGAATGCACAAAAAAACAAGCGAGTGATGACGAGCATTAGAACTGATAGGCAGTAATACGTGGAAGATCTAGCAACGACAGTGGATACAACTGGAACAGAAGGAAATATGAGACAGATATATGACACAACAAAGAAACTGGTAGGGGAATATGGTAAACCAGAGAAACCGGTCAAGGACAAAGAAGGCAAAACAATCACCGATATTCAAAAACAGTGAAACAGGTAGGTAGAGCGTATTGATCAAATCTTGAATAGACCAGCTCCACTTAACCCACTAGATGTCGAAGCAGCATATACAAACACTCCTATTTATGGCACTTCACTAACAATCGACGAAATAACCACGAAAAATGAAGAGTGGGAGAGCAACATTATCTGAAAATATACCAACTGAAAGGGGACATAGAAGTAACTGCAAATATGCCCGATGTCCTATTCAGGAAGATTTAGGAGGAAGAACAAGTTCTACAGACACACTACCATCAGCAACCGGTAAAGTTTTCAAAAGCGTTGTTGAGTCGAATGGAAGGTTAAGTAAACGCCCAACTTCGAGATTAACAAGCTGTATTCCGTAAGGATCGGTCGCGCACAAACCAAATCGTGACACAATCGATTGGATGAAGTTCGTCCTTATACATCAACTTCTTTGTTTATGAGAAAGTATCTGACAGTGTGGGTAGGATAACTTTATACAACATTTTCGACACTATGGTGTAGTTGAGGACGTCATGA